AACAGCGGCCCAGCGCCCACCCCTCCCGCACCGCGCCCTGATCGACAGCCGCGCACACCAATCACAGCGCGCTCTGGCAGGCGCGTCCCGCCTCCCTGCGCTCGATTGGACAGCTGCTGGACGCACTGAAAAACCATTGGTTAATGAACGTGTCCATCACTGTCAAGCGAAGGGCCCGCCCCCGCGGTAGTCCCGGCCGTTTCACCGCCCTCCTTTTGATGGACAGCGGGGACACCGAGGCTGCCATTCCCTATTGGGCAAAGGCCGAAATGCTCTGTAAAATTATTGGATAAAGTTAACATAAATCATCCGAGCCCTCTCCGCCCCGAGGGCACGGTCCCGACGCTGATTGGCTGACACGGATTTCTCGCGCTCTGATTGGTAGCTAGCCTCCCCACCCACTCCACGCTCATTGGCTGCTAAGCTGGTCACGTGCAACCCTTAGCAACGCATCCGGGCTTCCTTAGCGACGGGCGCTGAGGCGCGGGTGGGAAAAGGAGAGTGGGAATTGGGAAACGGGAACGAAACCGACCCAGAGCTCAGGGAACCTGCGGGTGAGAGGTCTGGTGGGCCGGGATCTGGGCCTCGGTGGGTCCTGGGAGCGGGAGGCGGCGGCCCCTTCCCACCCACCGGGCAGGGATGGTTGGAACTGCCATTGGCCGAAGAAACGCTGGACAAGCGCACATTCCTGGGAGTGTTCAAGGCCAGGTTGGACACTGCAGGGGCTTGGAGCAGCCTGGGATACTGGAAGATATCCTTGCTCATGGCAGAGGTGGAACAAGATGAGCTTGAAGGTCCCTCCTAACCCAAACCATTCTGTGATTGTAAAAAAAGAGAGAGAGGAAGGTCAAGGATGGATAAATCCAGAGCCAGGTGCTCCTCGCTCTGTAGTGCACGCAGCCACAGAGAGATTTGGTTTGTTAATGAGATGCCATAATGAGAAAAGAACTCTCTAAACTCTGACATTTATCATTGCTGTCCAATGCAAAAATAAATCAGAACTTACTCTGTAATTATAAACATCTTACGCAAGCAAAAGTTTGAAGATTCAAGTCTTTCACAGTGATTCACTAACTGCACAGTTCAGAAAAAGACAAATAGTCTCATTTGCCTCCAGGGCAACATTAGGGATATTTAAATTTCCATGAGAAATTTATTCACTGAAAGGGTTGTCAAGCATTGGAACAGGCTGACAAGAGAAGCTGTTGATTCCCCATCCCTGGAAGTGTCCAGTGACAGGCTGGATGGGGCTTGGAGCAACCTGAGATAGTGGAAGGTGTCCCTGCTCATGACAGAGGATGGAATGAGATGATATTTAAGATCATCTGGAAAGAGTAGCTAGGCAGTGATTTAATTAATTTTTCTTTTCTGTCCTTTAAGGCTGATTCCGTCTCACAATGAGTCAGTTTCTCAGTAATATTGAGCCAAACATTATTGATGATGAAATGGTTCAGAAAGCCATTGAAGAGAGGAGTCCAGATAACCTTGGAGAGCTTGCAAGAGAGGAGAGTGTTAAGCCTAAGGTTGTGACACAGCTACAACTTAGTTTTAAAAGTGAGTATCAGAAGATTATACATATTTTGCCTCTTCTTTTGCTAGAAGGTAATAGAATAAGTGGGTAACTGGCAATTGAGCAATCATTATTAGCTTGGATTTATGATGTGAAAATTAATGTCTGGGCTTGGACTTTTGCTCATACTTGTACAAAGGAGCTTCATCAGAGGGAGCTGCGTGCTTTTGCTGATGGGTAACTTCAAAACTGCTTCACTTCCCACTCATATTGTCACTGCTGTTCTCATTTAACATTTATATTGTGGTGACACCTACAGGCCACAGGCCTGTTGGGCCCCTCTATACATGGCCAAATCCAGCCCTGGGCAGGCTCTGCCATGGCTGGTGATTATGTGAGAGCTTGGGAGATTATGGTGATTACAGTCCAATCTGATGGCATTCTCTGGTCATCCATAGCATTGCCATGGCTTGCCTCTTACTGTCAAACCTGTTGTAAACTTTCACTCAAAAAAATGAAAAAGAAGAACATTCGGTTTAATATTTGAGTATTTTGTGGGGGGGTAATTTCACAGGCAAAATCTGTTGTTGATTATTCTTTGTGTGCTCCAGTAAAATAATGTGTGTATGAGTTGATTTTCTTAGAAAATACTCCCTTGACCTGATCCTGCATAGATTTGTTTGCAAATACAAAATCCAGAACTGTGTGACTATTTCGTGTGTGCAATTCCTTGGTTTATGATGCCCTCACTAAATAAGGACAGCAGCACAGCAGATGAAATCTTCTGGGAAGCCATTGCAGGGGAAAGAGAAATGGGAGTGAGAATGTTCTGTATTTCCTGTCACCTTGGTCCTGATACTTTGGTGTGATGACTAACGGCCTGCCCTTGTGATTCTGTTTTTGGAGGAAACTAAATGCAGGGATATCGATTAATTCTAAACTGCAGCCTTCACAGAAAGAGTAGACTCCAACTTCCTTTCCTGTGATGAGAATCCTGGGAGCAGAAGAGTCATTTACAAAAGCAGGAGCTGGGCACTGCTAGACTGCAAATGCAGAGAAAAGCAGAGTCTCATCCCAAACCTCCTGCTTGGAGCTGGAGAGGAAAATGAAGGTCAAGGCCTCTTAGTAGTGGATTCATAAAGCCACTGGAGTGCAGGGCCATAGTCAGCATCCCCTGCACGCCTCGTTGGCCTCGCTGATGAGCAGCGTGTGCTGGCGCAGGACACTGAGGTTAAGTGGGCTGTTTCATTGAAATCTCATCCAGCCAGTGCACCTCTGAGCTCTCCAGGGCACTCATCACATGCTGAAAATCCTTTTGGAGGCAAGACTGGACGTGTTTTCCTTGTGCAAGGCAATGTGTCTGCTAAAACGAAGCTGTCTCACATGAAAAACAATTTTCTTTCTATTTTTGTTTTTTTTCCTGTGGCTTTAGGCATCCTGCAGATTGATAATCTGTGGCCATTAGAGAACCTGACTAAACTGCAGCTGGACAACAACATCATTGAGAAGATAGAAGGTCTGCAGAGTCTGGTTCACCTTGTATGGCTTGGTGAGACACAGGCAGAGGAGGGTGGATGCCTTCACAGTTGCAAAGCAATCTGTGATAAACCACGATGTCACCTTACTTCTCAAACACGACTGATAGGAGCTTACCCTGGGAAGGCTGTCAGCTGTCTGTGTGTCTCCTTATTTGACTGTCAAATGTCAAAATGCCTGAGTATCAGAGTTGCAAAACAATCCTTCAAATATTTAAAAACTGGGTTTAATACATTTGGTGTGGCAGGAACAGGAAGCTGAGGTTTCGAGGTTGTTTCCAAGGTTTGTATTGTGTTTAGGGGTGACTTTCAGGAATATTTATGGGAACACCTCTGTGATAGAGAAGCCTGTATTGTGTTTTCAAAGCTGCTGCAGGCATTCCAGAGCCTACAACCCACCATCTTTATCCCTATATCCTTCAGGGTTTGGTGTCATCGTTGTCCCAAGGAGTGCCCATCCTTGTAGCCTTCTGTGACTGCTTGCAGCTACACAGCTGCACAGCTTAGAGCATTCCCTGGAACTGCAGCCACGTTGCTGGCTGGAATTCTAAATATATCCTCAGCATGCAGGGCTTCAGCTTGTAAGCATGTTGTGAAATGTCTAATGGGTTCCTCTGCCCAGTTGTCTGCAGTGTTCTGCTCCACAGATGACTGATGCACTTGTGAATCTGATCAGTGTAAGCAGAGTGTTTTGAAGCACACTCACATATTTTGTTTGCCCAAGGGCTGCAGTGGTTCAGCTGCTGCTACACAAGTGTCTCAGCTAGCCAGGAGACCTCATAAACTGCTTTAGGACTCTTGGCTTGCCCTTAGTCATGGTGAGTGTTGGTGTTAGGAGAGATGTTCTGGCAGGGGAAGAGGACATTTCAGTAAGTTAAACAGCTGAAGTGAGCCTTTGCATGACTCCACTGACATGGAATTGCCATATCTTGGTCCTACAGGAGTGGCCACAACTGTGCCATGGGTGTGGCAGGACAGAGTGCAAGAAACAAGACAGTGTCAGATTTATCACAGAAATTCCCCTCTAAGGGCATTTCCCCACCTCTTGTTTTGTGTTTCCCCATAAGGCACAAGTCCCTTTCAGGCTGTGTATGTGGACTCTGCATGGACTAACTTCAGGTTTTCCTCTCATTCAGAAGTTTCACAGACAATTACAAGGAGGAGATGGAAATGAAGGATGATTTAATGCTGAGCCTTTCCTGTGGGATACAGACCACCCCTGAGAAAAATCTGTGCATAAACTCCTACATCCAGAGCTAAGGGGAGGAATCAGGGTGTTCTGCAAGAAATAATTTAATGTTTGATTTCTAAATTCTTCCCCAGACCTGTCCTTCAACAATATTGAAGTAATCGAGGGTCTGGATACTCTTGTCAAACTGCAGGACCTCAGTCTCTACAGTAACAGAATATCTAAAATTGAGCACATGGACACATTGCAAGAGCTGCAAATTTTCTCCATAGGGAAGAATAACCTGACCATTCTGGAAGATGTGAGTGTTCCCTGGCTTTGCAAATATTCTCTGTTGAAGGATCAGCTATTCTAAAACTGGCATTTGCCATCGTGTCCAAGCCCCTCCTTAGGTGATAAAATTCTCCTTAGGATTTCTAAGTAGTCTGAGCTATGGTTTTGGTCCTCTGGTGTTAAGTACTTACTGCAGTAATTTTTCTTTTAAGTTATTGAATCGTGGAGGCCCAGTTCTGTGACTGCTCTCAGCCATGGCAAAATTCCTACTGTCTCCCATGAAAGCTAGAAAAGGCAAAAGTGGCTGCATATGAGAAAATTTATTTATTTTATAGGATTTATTTGGGGCTCTTTTTAGGGCATCTTACTAATTTAGGACCTGTGATTTGTGCACCCCATCTGCCTTCTCTCTCCACCCATTGTCTAGATATTCCTAACATGAATTTAAGTATTTCCTTTCCCCAAACCATTAAAAACTCATAATTGACTGTCGTGTGAATTTGGCAGCGGAGCAGAATACATACTCGACTGTAATAAAAGCAATAAATTCCAAGGCTGAGTTTCCCCAGCTCTGGGAAATACAGAGCTCTTTCCCTTTGGCACAGGTTGTCTATCTCAGGAGGTTAAAAAACTTACGGACACTGAACCTCAGTGGGAACCCTTTCTGCAGCCAGGAGCACTACACGCTGTTTGTTGTTGCTCATCTTCCAAGCCTGGTGTACTTGGACTTCAAGCTCGTGAGAGACTCCACGGTGAGATTTCTGCATTCCCTGCTTGGGAAATCAGGCAGCAGCATCTTACAGAGCCTTTGCTTTGTTGGTGTGCCAGCAATATTCCAGCACTGGGGGCAGGTTCCCTGCAGAAATCAGGCTCACAGAAACACACAGTGTTTATTCTGCTTCCACATAACAGCTGTGAACCTGTAGGCCAAATTCTGTCAAATCTGACAGAGAGGTAGAGGTGTCAGAGCATGATGTCTTCACAGATTTTGTGAAAATCAGCAGCTGTGTGTGGGAGAGGGGCTTGGTTCGTGTTGCCACAGAGAGGCTGCAGTGTGAGTGCAAGTCTTCTTAGAGAATCTCAGAGGAAATCAGTCTTGAGACGTGGATCCAGGGGGAAGGAGCCTTGGTGGTCCTGCTGCTCACAGAGTGATTTGTTTCTGTAGTAAACTGACAATCCAGGCAAGCAGGTGCCTGGATGTACTTCCCCCTTTTGATTTCTGAGAACAAGACACTTCATCCTCACCAGTAACCTGTGGAACTGCTTTATCATCTTAGGGATCAAAGGAACAAAGATGGGGTTTTTTGTTCAGGGATTTTTTCATTTTTTTTAGTAACCAAAGAACATGATTAATTGTAAACTTGCTTGGCACAGAGCAGGAGCTGTATTTGGAATGTACATTGCTCATACCACAGGGCTGGAAGGGCTTTCCAGGTCATGGAATGCAGTCTCTGCTCATCAGGGACGTCAGAGAATTGCATACTTAAATTTGTCAAGCTTCAGTTTCAAGCTAATGAGGTTCTTGCCCCTGGTACTACCTTGCCATCCACTCCTCCAAAGAGCCTTCTCCACCCTAGAAAATGTATTAACCTCACTGACTGATCAAATTTGAGCTCAAATTCTAGAAGTCAAAATAGAACTTACTGCTAAAAGAGGAAAAAAACCCAACAACTCTAAAGATGAGAAAATGGAGAGAGAAAAGCTCCCTGGGACTGAATTATCTCAGATGCACTGAATGCAGAAACAGAGCAACATGCCAGCAAAAAAATGGGATGAGGATTAGATTAGAAACTTTATAAGCAGTTTAATAAAAAGCCCATGAGGAAATGGAGATGCAGATGCCTCTCTGGTGCATGTTCTAGAAGATCAGTTGCTTATGCCCAGCCTTGTTGAGCAATGTTGGATAATCTAATACAGATATTTTATTTCTATTTCTCAGAGAGAAACTGCAGCTTTAAAGTATCAAGATCTTACTAAGCCACTGGAACAAGAGGAGGCTCATGTCCTTGCTCTGCAGGAGGTAGAAGAGGCAAAGCAGAAAGAGCTGGAGTACCACCAGGTAAGTTTTTTTTTGGCTGGTTGTGTATTGGCTCAGGACAAAGAAGCACAACACATATTGACTTGTCTTTTCCCTGCTTGAAGATCCCTCTGTGATCTCTGAATCTTATCTTTTGGATGGAAACAGGAACTGCTGTGGAATACACATGACGTGGGGGAACATAATTCTTCGAGCTGAACAATGAAACTACAGATAGAGACCCTGCAAAGCTAAATAGTAAATCATACCCAGGGAGCTTATCACCCTGACATGAGATTAAGAAAATTACAGGTCTGAGTGAACTGTTAACATTTTCATAGGTTTTTTTTCCCCACACTAAGTTAAGCTTTTCATTAGTTTTATGGTTAAACTCTCCAGAACTTTCAGAGATCACTATAGTCCTGTGACCAGACTGAAAGCAAGACCAGGTGGAATGCTTTCAGCTGTAGCCTGGCTCTGTATTCCAGACCTCTAGAAGGTCACAGTGGCTTAATTTTAGTGTTTAGTGCCAGGGAGGATGCCTGCAACTCTTCCTTTTGTCCCTCCCCAAGGTTCACCACCTCCTTATCTGAAAGGCTAAATAGCTTTGCCATAAGTGTTTGCATGTGGTAATGTCTTACACTGGCAACTGGCACAGGTTGCCCAGAGAAGCTGTGGCTGCCCCATCCTGAAGTGTTCCAGGTCAGATTGGATGGGGTTTGGAGCAACCTGGGAGAGTGGAAGGTGTCTCTGCCCATGGCAGATTAAACAGTGTTTGCTATCCTTAGGCTACAGGGTTGTAGCAGCAAAGCCCCTGGGATGGGTTTCACTCCAGTTGCAAGGTGCTCTCATGGCTTGGTTGGTGTTCCTGCTTTGTTCATGTTCTGCACCAACGTGCTGCTGCTGCTGAGGTGCTTGTAGGAGAGACACATCCTGAGGACTGGCAGCAGGCTGGCATCTTTATTTTACTTATTTTTCTCTGTTTCTCTTCAAAGACAGCCTTTGTGGAGTACCTGAATGGATCACTCCTGTTTGACAGTCTGTATGCAGAGGACAGAGAAACTGCCAAACTGGCTTGCCTCCCTGGAGTGGAGGACCTGCTGCAGGCATATCCTTCCTGGGTTTGGAATACCTACAGCTAAAAGGTAATGCCTTGAGTTAAGAAGGAAGTGCATCCACAGGGACTCTTCATCTGTTGCTTTTGTCCAGAGCTGAAAGCTACATTGATCTAAGATCTGAGACAGTCTGTGTTCAATTTTGGAATGGTACCAAAAATTACACTACAAGGCTGTGAGACCACTGACAGCTTTAAGGCTTGATATCTTGTGAAATATGAGGGCTCCAAACAAATGGTTTATATTACTGGCAAGCTGGCCAGCCCAGCTTGAAACATCCCATTTGTAAAACCACTCGTTTCTATCCCCAACAGGTCATGAGATCCCAGCGTTTTAAATTCTCACCGTTGTAATTACCATATTCCTTTTCCTTCCCTTGAATCAAACACAATTTCAGTAGCCTCCTTTTCTGACCCTTCAAGAATCAAGACTTTGTACTTTCTTTAAGTCTGGAATCCACTTAAAGTTTAAAATGAGCTGGAAGATAAATCTCTGTCAGTTAGATTGTAAGAGCACAGTCGCTAAAATCATGTTGAAATTGAAGTGGTAGGAGATAGGAACAGACTAATCAGAACGATACAAGTCGCATATCTCACAACCTGCCAGAACTGGCAACGTGAAGTTTCCAGGCCAGCACATTTTTCTGATCATTGCTCCTACACAGGGGAGCAGAAAGCAGACACTTTTTTTTCTTTTTTCTTTTCTCATTCAGATTAATAGAGTATTGTCAAGGCCAGTAACTTGACCTTCCTTAAAATTGCATTACGCTTTTGGGGGAAAAATGCATCACAGCTTAACTACAATAGACTCCAGAAACAATTCCATTGCCAAGATAATAGCAGAAGAAAAATTGACATTATTTTTGTGATGCTACCAAGTCAGTAGTTTATCCTGTGCTCTGGCTGTGGGCTCCAAAGCTGTATTTATTAACTACACAGGCACTGTATTCACACTTGTGAAGACAGATAGGGTTGTAGGCTTCCTTCTGCTGCTGTGTCAGAAGAGTCAGACAAGTGAATGTATTTTCTCCTCTTGCTCAAGGCCTTTTCCCCCCCCTCAAGTTGCCACAGTTTTCTCCATACCCTTAAGGCAGCAAAATCCTGTGCATAAAACGTGAATGGGTGACCCAGTCCTGCCCCAGACAGAATATTTGGCAGCTCCCAGCAAGAACCACAGACTTTACATAAAAGTAGCTCGTAGCTCTTGTTGCTCAGATTTGCAGAGGCAGAGGGAACATAACGTGTTGCTCCACTGAACAAGCAAAAAGCCTTGACTCTGCTGTCACATACAAGAAGGAGTTTGTCTTAGTTTCTGAGAACCTGTATAACTATGGACTGGAAGAGTATGAAAAACGAGAAGCTGCAGTCTCTAAGTTCTACAAAAGACTCCGTGAAATTCTGGCAGTCAACCAGCAAGAAAGCAAGAGAATAATCTCAGGCTTTGAGAGTCGGAACCAAAGGGTAATGCTATACTTTTGTTTGTTCAATACATGATTTCTCAGCTTTTAATTATGCTGAAAATAGGGATAACTCCATTTAAATTAGGAAAATTATTCTGGATTGACAATGTTATAATGGAAATCAATACTTGATGATTAATAGCAGAATCACAGGGTGTTTGGGGGTGGAAGGGATCCCTGGAATCATCTGGTTCTGGTCAAGGAGGACCACCCACAGCAGGCTTCCCAGGACTTAGAATATCGCCAAGGATGGAGACTCCACAGCCTCTCTGGGAAATTTCTTCCAGTGCTCAGTCATGAATATTTTTTTTTAATTTATGCAAAGAAAATTGTTTCATTAACTAATATAATGCCATTGACATAATGTGAAAAGTTTTTTAATACTTTATGCTGGGAAAAAATGGGGATTGAAATTTCTACCCTTTGGGCAAACTACAACCAGCTAACACAGCCTTTATCTATACTGGAAATTCAGTGTAGAACAAAATTAATGTGTCATAATGTTATCTTCTATAAAGGTAAAAGTCCTTCAAGGGTTTACAGAAAAATGTGGCTGAACAGGGTGGAGTTTTTTTACTTATTTTTTTCCCATCCAGAAAAGTCACCAAAATTTAAGAAAATAGAAATGCTCAAACTTCTTTTTAGTTTAAATATTTTTTTATAAGGTTGATTTTTAAGATAGAAAGATAGATAGATAGATAGATAGATAGATAGATAGATAGATAGATAGATAGATAGATAGATAGATGTTTACTGCTACTCCCCTTCTTTTTGAATCCTCCAATAGCCCTTCCTTCATTGAAAAACCAGGAAGAAAAGGAAAGAAATTGCAGGGTATTCAGTTTATTTTCAAGTAATTTTCTGCTTCAGTTCATTTTCTCAACAACACCTCAAAGAACTATAACCAAAAAATTAGAGAAAGTCATTTTAGTGTATTTCTAGTCCTTTAAAGCAGAAACTCTCTCTTTTCATTCTGCTCAACTACAGCCACCCATTGTGGCTGCTCAGGGCGTAGCTTCTAGCTGGATCCCTTTCTAACCATGTATAATAGATGGATCATGATTTTGTTTCCACAGGAAAAAAAATTAAATAAATAAAAAAGGGAGGGGTAAAGCGTGGTAACACTGTCAGCTGAGAGAGCAAGTCCCTGACAAGTGACACCAGCAGAGTCACGAGCGCTGGCTCCTGCTGGAAACCAGGTCACTTTTATTTCAGTGCTTGTCACAGGCTGATGGCTGCTGAGTCACTCTGCTCCCAGGGCCTTGAACCTTGCTGACTCATGCTGGAAATCTGCATCCAGCAGCTCTAGGAGCTGGCAGCACTGCCAGAGTCACCCAAGAGCAGAATGGTTTGGGTTGGAAAGGACCTTAAAGATCATCTTGTTCCAACCAGAAGTTTGATATCAATATTCAGTTAACTTGAGCTTGCATTCTCTCTATATCTTCCATAAAAAAAAACCCTAAACCAGCAAAACAAACCCTGCAAAACCTACAAAAACAAGGAAACAACAACAAAACCCAAAGAAACACAGCTGAGTCCAGATTTTATCCCTTCACCTCTGTCTGACCTGCAGGCTCAGTTATGGATTGGGCTGCAAGGGGTGACAAGGGGGAAGGGCCTTAAGCTGAAGGAGAGGAGGCTTAAATGGGATATTAGGAAGAACTTAGATTAAATATTAGGAACAAATCCTTCCCTGTGAGGATGGGGAGGCCCTGGCACAGATTCCCACAGAAGCTGTGGCTGCCCATCCCTAGAAGTGTCCAAGGCCAGGTTGGACAGGGCTTGGAGCCACCTGGGATAGAGGAAGGTGTCCCTGCCCATGGCAGGGGGTGTGATGGATGATCTTTAAGGTCTTTCTCAACCCAAACCATTCAGGGATTCTGTGGTTCTCTATAAACAGGACACGGGGATTAGCGTGCCAGTTTTCATATAAATGTTAGAGGAGTTGGAATCAAAACCAAACACAGTGTTTTAACATCATTTCCCCATCATTTAAAACTGTTGGAGGAGTTCAAAAGGCACAGAGAGGTCCCAGCAGACTGCAGTCTGTGAGCTGTTCTTAGGGCTGTTTGTCTGTCTGTAATCCTTTTGTGTAAACTTGGGTAACCTGTGAAATCACTGCGCTCTCTGAAGTTGGTTACGGAGGATTAAAGGCCTTGAACTTTGAAGTTATTGCTCCCAGAGGTGCAGCTTGAGTGGCTCTGGAGCCTTTTGAGCCTCCTAACTTGTTTACATTAGAGAAGAAGACACCTTGCTCTCCCCTTCCCCCTTTTAACACTGCAAAGTTTGGGTAATCCACCCCATTTCCAGACACAAGCTTTAACAGGGGTTTTTAACAGAATCCTTTATTTCACCCCATTCCATTCCCTCTCAGAAGTGGATTAGACATAATCAAACATATATATTTTTCCTCCTTTTTTGAACAGTTGATTGTTAACTGATTTTAAACAGACTTGAAAATAATACATTCAACACAAGAGGATTTTTTTTTTTGATCCAAGAAAACATAAATCTTGCCTGATACAAAAGTGACGTCAATACATAATTCTGAAGGGCAATAAATCCTTGCTGTAAGAGGAAGCAGGCAATGATAGGTATTCCATATTCAGAATACTAAATCCTGACCCTACTGGAAGTCAGTCAAGATTCTCTTTGGCAGGAAGTGGATCAAAATTTAGACCTGTGTTTCTTTCTCTGAAGCAATTGTTAATTTCTTCTTCACAGCAATGTCAAGAATTAAATATTGTTCTTTTTTTGCTTGAAATGAAGGGGAACCGAAACTGGAAGCACAGAAGGAGCAAAGTCTTCTGCTGAGTGGAGGATGAGGAAAGAGTTTTCCCAATCCCCCTGCAGCAGCAAACCTCAGCACTGTTGAGTACCTAGTATGTAAATCTGGAGCCTTCCCTGAATCATCACATTTCATTCCAGCTAATCAGCAGCAGGAACTTTTCTCACACATGTAACAAGTTAATTAAATTGCGATGGAGTGCTGAACACAAACTATAAGTAATTCGTGTATCTCTGTGTTTAGAGGCTGGATGAGCTTTATCAGGCTGGGAGTGGTGATATTGCTGAGTCTAAACGAGCCCAGGGCAAGGAGGACATCCATCAGCTGTGGGATGCACTCATGACCTTGGAAGCGCTGGTGTCCAACGACCTGGAGGTGAGATCCAAGCTCCCACCTGGGAGACCTCACAGCCAGAATGTTGGGGAGTCACTTTTCTGTCACTGCAGCCCCATGCAGCAGCTTGCTCACAAAGAGGGGAGCACAGCACTTGACTCAGGGGAATGTTCTGTCCCTGCTTTATTCTTTCTCTGCTCCAAGTTGATGAGGGTGAGATCAGGCCCTTGCTGTGGATACCTTACAGCAGATTTCTGTTTCTCAGAGCAGAACACAGTATGTCCATCACGTCTATCCAAGCTGGTTTCCCACACTTTAGAGACAGAGAGATTGTGCAATCACTTTATAGGTCTGCACAAGTTGCTGCATAGCATGGGGTATGCATTTGGAATTCTAGAGGTGTCATTCTTTGAAGCTGATCTTTGCTATAAGATTACACACATTCCTGCTTGGCTTGCTGCATTTGCTTGCATAATAGCTGCCTTTTCCTCCCCAGACTTTTCCTCAAAAACTAGGGCAGGGCTGCTGATGTGCATCTTCAAGGAAGGAAAAAAACCCAAAGTAATCTGTTTAAAAATGAGCAGGCAGGAGCTGTGGCCTGTGTGCAGCAGTTTACTTTTGTGAGCATGGATAGCAGAAAGCAGCAGCTCAAAATGGATCCTCACTGCATCAGCATTGAGCCTTTTTTGTGTTTTCTGAGCTGGCTCTCACCTATCTGCAGTCACTGATGGGATGAGCAGAAACATTTCTCCCTGTGTGCCCTGCTGGATTTGCAGGATTCAGGTACCAAGACATTTTAGTGCAACACTTCCCAGGTTCTCCATCAGCCATTTCTGAGAGAGGGAACAGGCAGCAGCAATTTTAATTTCTGAGGACTAAAGCAAAAGCTGCAATAAAGCCCAGGCAGGGGTTGTGCTTCTGACAAGAGGCTCTCCATACAGACAAGGACAAGGAGGCTGCAGCATGGCAGGGTAGGGAATACAGCCCTCTCCAGGCATTGCTCAGGAGAGGGTAACAAAGGATGCCCTGGCTTACTCCACACACTGGGTAAAGGTAGTGTTCAGTCAGCTTCCCTCCAATAAACTGGTTCTGATTTTCTGTCCCTGAAGAAAGGAAGAAAATGTTGCAGCACTTTGAAAACACTTTAAATGCTCAAGGGAGTTCAATTTCTGACTGTGCTAGTAACAGCAGTGAGCCCAAATTACAATAATTTGTAGATTCCTCCTAGACTCCCTGACTCCATGCTATGTTTATGCAAGTTTTCATTGTGATATTTCCTCTTTTTCCCCTCTGTTAAGGAACTGCTACAGGATTTTAAAAGAAGCATTGATGTCATAGCATCAACATTCACTGAAAATATTCAAGGGATATATCCTTTTTCACAGTATGGTAACCTGGACCTCCCAGTCATGTGCCTACAGCTCATCTCTAAGTCCAAAACTGAGCTACCAGTATAAAAACTTTATATTTTTTTATTTTAATCAACAGAAAATATCTTTTCCCAGCTTTGAGGAACTGTCATTTAAGGTGCCCAGCTTCTTTACATGAAGACTTTGGAGAGCACAGAAAGATCAAAATTCTCTGTACTGAAAGTCTGTAGAATTTAGGCAGCTTTCACCCTGTTGGGAATCTTCTTTCTCCATGCAGAGAAGACAAAACACAGGAAAGATCTGGTTAGACTGTTTCCTAGGCACATTCCTGCCATTGCAGTCAATGACTTACCTCCAATTCTGTTGAATATTCTCTAAATTGTGTTCATTTTTGTATTTTTGATGTGTGCTGAAAAAAAGTTACATGAGAATACTGAAGTACTTGAATGTCAGGTCATGCATGCTCCTTTAAATCTAGGAATCTGATGGCCTGGTGCAAATAATTGCACTGCATTCAGAGCTTAGCTTTTACCTGGAGGCCTCTTCCAATTTCCCTGGCAAACCTAGGTCCCCTCTCAATCCTCTGTCATATTTGGCAGTAAGGATGAGACTCAGTGTGCAATTAAGAATTGAAAGTGTGTATCCTGATATCCTGACACCACAGCAGCTTCTGGGAGGTCATTTAATCTCCACAGATGAGTGGTGTGGTCAGTTTTTTCCTTAACCGTATTCTCTACGTTTAGCCGCTGCCGGGACCTGGAAAATGAACACCATGAAAAGCTGGTGGAGCTTATCATCACCACCAAGGAGAAATTGGACATGGATGAGCTTGAAGAGGATTTTCCAGATGATGCTCGAATGGTGAGGGCACCAAAACAATTCATCTCTGAGAGGGAATAGGCATGAAAACAAGGCCATAGCCTCTTCTCTGAAGGGACAGGATTTCCAGGAGGCTCAGTGCTGCCAGAGCCATACCTGAACCACAGCATAACCTCCTTCCTAGGGGGTCCAGCTGCTTGGCTGAACTGTGGTGCTTCCAAACATCTCCACTCACTAGGACAGGGGATAACTGCACTGCAGGTTTCCCTGGGCACTGCTGGAGCTGGTGGCAGCAGCCCAGGAGAGGTGCTGAGGAAATCTCTCTCCTGCCTCCAGCACAACTCACTGCTCTGGCTGATTTCCAGGCACTCAGGCAGCATCTTTGCTGCACTCCCTCACAGCTGGTTTTGTTCAGACTCTCCCTGCTCCCTCAGCAGAATCTCAACACTGCTCTGAATTTCTTGCACCAGGGCTCTGTTTGCCTCAGTGATTTCAAAATCCCTTCCTGGAGCTCCTGAGCCCATGAGCTGATCTGGAGGCAGGATATGACACTAAATAGAGCCTTCCACTGAGCCCTCAGTCTTGCTGTGCAAGCAAAGATCCCAGGAGCCTTTCCAAAAGCACAAACATCTTTGCAGTGCTCCACTCAGCAACGCTGCTGCCCTTTTTGCCTCCATTATTCCTTCATTTAGTGGCTGAATTACTTGAATTTGCATTAGCTGTGGTTTTGCTCTGTCCAGATTATCCCAGCCCCCTGTCACTCCAGGTAATCAAGAGCTGACAGACACAAACCAGACCCCTGAGCCCCCGGGGGAGCTGCTGCTTTATGGCCTGTGCAGATGGTGGCGGTTCCGCACCGCTGCCATGCACCCATTTTGCTTCACTGCCATCCATTCCCACAGAGAAGGGAATTCATTTGCCCAACAGCTGCACTTGGCTCCAGGAGGAGACTCATTATGGGTTAGCAAAGCCTCCCTCTATTTAGAGCCACGAGGGAAGTCACTGCTTCCATTAGAGGCTGGGACTCTCCAAAAATGAAGATTTACAGCCAGCGCCAGCAGTGCAGGAATCCCTTCCAAGTGTGATTTTCCATTTCCAGGCATGCTGGAGCACATACAGCCTTTCTTCAACACCAGCTGCACAGCAGCCCTGCTTGCACTGAACTCCCCATTCCAGCACGTGGGGCCAAGGCTGCTGCCTCTAGCTCTCCACCTGTACTAGGGATAATGCCCCGTTACACCGTAGCAAAGCCAAGGGTAAAGCCTTGGATTCATCCTGATGAGCAGGGATTTGCCAGAGTGTTTCTCCCTCTAGGCACTGCTGTGCTGCTCGTTCATTGTGTGCTCACCCCCTCCTCTCATCCGGTCACGTTACTTCCCAGCTCCTCGTGGATGAAAACACCATTGTCAACGCCATGAACGTGTCCCACAGCATCCGCCTGCGGAAGATTGATAAGAGAGAGAGCGACATGCTCTGCAACATCTACCAGTGGCAGATCTCAGTGACAGAGAAGGTAAGAGACCCTCACACTCAGGGGGACGGGGCACAGATAGGTCTGGCCCTAGTGGCAGGGACACTGTGAGGAGAGACACTCCTGGACCTTTGTTGGAGCCCTCTGTGCTCCAGGGACCTTGACACGCCTGCAGATTCACTGCTTGGTTTCCATCTGTCCAGGCTTTCCAAACAGAGAACGACAGAAACCGTTCCTGTATCCAAAAAATCATTTGCTTCATCAACTCTCTGCAGAAGGAGCTGGATAACACAGGGATTCAGAAGCCTACAGAATAGGGCTGGGCAGCTGCCTCAGCTGGGGCACACAGGACAGGACAGGAACAGGACATTTCAGACCCAATGCATATTTCTTCCATCCTACCATAAACTGCAAATGAAAGCTACTTCTTGACTCTGGAAAAGCATCCAAAGCCTTGTCTCTTCCATCACATTGGCACAAAGCCCGTGCAGACAACTCAGACCTGGTCACAAGGGGTTATGGATCAGCTCTGAGCTGATTGAACCAAATCATCGCAGCATATCATGCCTGAAAGCTTCGGTACCTGCGAGCTCAGTGGCAGGAACCCGTGAGCCGCTGGCACGAGGCAGCAGCTCGGGAGAGGAGCGCTCTCCATCAAACCACCCCCGAGATAACAGCAGGTTTCCAGCTCAGCAAGCACAAGGCTGGCGGGGGCTCCGTATGCCTGGGAGCCTCATCTTCTCACCCCTTCTCGCAATCGGCTTTCTGCAGCGTGAGCAGAGCAGCCCCCAGCCAGCAGGAAGGGAAATCAATGGTTCCACGGGAGCTCACGCGCCGCCGCTCGCGACAGCCAAGCGAGGAGTCATTAATTCCCCTCCTTGCTCGGTGACAGCCGCTGCCACCTCGCTTGTGGGCAGCTTCTGAGGAACGGTGCTGGCCGGGCCAGCGCTGCTCCAGGCAGGCAGCAAGGAGAAGGTGGGAAGGTTAAACGAGAGGGTGGCTGTGTGTGCACACCAGGGACACAGCAGGTCTCAGACAACCCCGTGGCTGGTGCTGCCTGTCAAACACAGATTCAGCTCATCATGCTCTGTGCCTCTAAAGATGGCTGGAGCCCAGGTTTTACCTCTCTTGCTCCAGGACTACACAGTCGTCTCCTTGCTACCTCCTCAGCTGCATGGAGTGGTTCATACAGTAGTTATTGTGTGTGCTCTGGTCTGATTTTTAATACCTGGAGCCATCCCAGCACCTGCCCACAACCTGGCAGCTCAGGACCCAGCCCACAGTTTGGTGACTAAAGCAAAGACACACAGCTTTTGGTACCTCACAGGGGCGAGTCTTTAATGGAACACAGAGACCCTGGTGTTACAGACAGGCACGCCGAGGGATGAACAACAGATGCAGTAGAGTCTGTTTTCAGATTTCCATAACAAGTGTGTGTCAGGAGCTGGCAGCTATGAAGACATGTGGCATATGCTGGGTATGTCTGTGCCGTGCCCCGCCCAGGAAGCTGTTTCTTCTGTGGGAGCTCCTCTGATGAGTTACAGACACCAGCAAAGGACGGAGCTGCTGGCTTGGGGATTCAGAGGAAACTCACCTTGACCTTTCCTCCTGGTGTGCTGCACTGCAGCAGGCAATACAAGTGAAGAATTGCCCACAAAACCACAGCACATGAAGCTGATCCCAGGAAAAGTGGAATGGCAGGAAGGTGGCTACCATCCACTGCGTCAGGCCAGCAATTCCCAGCTGGACATTTTCTTTCTGTGCCCTGCCCAGCTGCCTCAGTCCTGCAACAGCTTGTGTTTTATAGTTGAGCTCTCTGAGCAGAGGTGAACAAAGAGAGTCCCAGCTGCTGTGCGAGCACGCAGCTCACACAGGTCGTAGTCGTGGGCCCACTCCACATTGCCCCAGCGCCGAATCTGAAGGAGAGGAGAAAGATGGATTATACTCAAAGCACCTCAGCAACTCTCAGCTTCCCTTCTCATGTTTGTGAAGCATAGGTAACCCCCACCAGAAGCTGAGATGATCCTTGACTGCTGAGGCAGGGATATCTTGAGATGAGGATGTGATTCATCTGTACTGGGGTCTGAGGCAAAGCCTCTTCATGGGAGGATGAAAAGATTCCCAACTTCAGCCACTTTTGGGACACAAGGAGCTTCACACCAGGCTAATTTCCAGCAAGCTTGATATCTTGGTGTCTACCAAAGCCTCCAGGCTGGATAACCCTCAGCAAGAGAAGCCAGCCACAACTTTGCACTTCAGATTAGAGAGGGAGAAAAGGAGCCATCTGGGCTCTGTGAAAAGCAACTGGCAGCCCTGGGAGCACTCTGGGCTGGTGTGCCTGTGGTGCTGCTCTGCAGCAGCACGCTCTGAACGCTCTCAGACAGGGAGACTGGTGGAGTGGAACGTCTCCTGCTATAGCAGGCACTTTCCCTGCCAGTTATTTGTGGTGGGGGATGCATTTGTCATGCTGAGATTATTGCTATTTGAATTATAGGGCTGTTTTGTAACATAATTTACCTGGTATTCTTCCTCCAGGCGAGACAGAAGCACAGCTTTCTCTACTGTAATGTGCCTGTCAATCAGGCTCATGGACAGAATCAGCGATTTCAGCTGGGTGATTACAAATTCTATACCTGAAAGGGAATAACCCAAACCAAACAAGATTCATGGCTGTTTTCTGCAGCATTACAGCAGCATCTTCACATGCTCTGAAGAGACAGGCAGGCTGTGGTACCCCCTTGGGGAGGGCCAGGGATCCTCCCACCTGCACCTGGGCACTCAGATCTGTGGTTAACAGCAGGCACAGAGCATTGTGCTGGCCCTGCCACCACAGTGACAAAGGCCATGCCCTGGACACCACCTCCTTTTATTCTGCCATAACCCTTCCCTGTGCATAGGGAAGAGATATCTATCCAGGCTCGAGCATTCTGTGTCTTTTGTGGGTTTCACTGCCTGCTGCTCATTCAGATCTGCAGCAAAGCAAACCTCCATTTCTTTATCTTTCAGTGTCATTCAGCTGATTCAGGCAAGATTAAGTGGGATATAAGGATGAAAAAGTGAGCACAGTGCACAGTGTGGGCACTTTGGAATACTAAGCCTGATTTCTTTTCCTGGTAACAACAAAGCTAGGGATTAAATCATTAGAAGGTTTGGCATTAAAGAAGTTATTTGTGCTAAGGTGGAGCAAGCAGCTCATGGGACAGCACAGTCAGATCCTGAACACCACTGGCACTGAAGAGAATCCCTGCCTGCGACAAAAGCAGGTCAGGGCTTGGCCTGCAGATTTAAAACATAAACCTCCACACTTGGAGCAGAAGAAAAACATGACAGTCACTCTCCTGCCCTGTGGAGAGGAATCACCTCCTCGCTGGCCCAGCCTGAGAGCAGAGCTCCCAGCCCAGCCCCGCTCACCTTGCAGGGCCCACATGTTGTAGGATGCCAGATGGCTGACAAAGGTTTCCTTGGTGCTGGCTGGAATGTTTGGCCCCAGGATGCTGGTTGAGGAGCCAATTGTCACGTTGTACCTGGAATGATCACCCAAACCCTTAGCAAAGCCCAGGGGAAAGGCTCAGGGAGCTCGTGGCCAGAGCTCCTGGGCTCAGCAGGGCAGGGCTTAAAGCAGCCAGGAACCCTTTGAGCTCTCACCTTTTCTCAGCCCAGGTGACCACAGGATCCCACTCATTCTTCTGTAGTTCTGCCAAGGCTGGAGGCTCCTCCACACGATAGCTGGGACATTATGGAACAAAACCATGCTGGATGGTCCCTCCCAGGCTGAGACACACCTCTGGGAAGGACACTGATCCCACCAGACCCACAGCAAGTGGAACAGGGACCTGCTGTCCACCCAGGCAGCAGTGACAGTGAACAATCCCCCAGCTCCTCCCCAAATTCAGTGGTTTTTTGTTATTCCAGGAAGGACAATTCTGTCTTACTACAAACAACAGCAGTGAACCAGCCAACTGAAAACTGTAGGAAGCCCCAAGCCACAGGCTGAAGTGAGGTTTAGCAGTTAGGGGAGGGTACAAACCCCACTGCAACTCTCTGTGGGATCACTCCTGTTTCTCCTTGCCCAGTGGCTCAGCTCAGCATTCCCTGACCCCTAGACTGACCAAAGCCACACAGGCAGAGGGGAGAATTCTGTTCCTCTCTCTCCATAGGAACTGTGCAGCTGCCAGTGGAGGCTGGGACAGGAGCCTGGGCATGAACAGGCTTGATCCTACAGCTCATGGAAACTTTAAGGAATGAAGGGCATTTTGGGACTGGTACAAGTAGTCTGAGCTATCTGTAGTGGCACAGCAATACCAGAGATTGACTGACAGATTCCCACAGGCCATTCAAAGATGTTTTCTTTTCTTCAAGATGCTCATTTCCTGCTGCTCTCACCCCTGTCCAGCATGGAGGTGCCCAAAACAGAGTTCACCAAATCCAATGCTCCCTCTTTGGGTGCACACACTCCAACCAGGTTTGTACGTGCAGCACTGATCTAAATTAATTCAAACCCACAAGCAAAAACCAGCACAGATCAGAGCCATGCCATGACTGGATGAGAGCAGATGTCATCCCTCACTTTACCCAACCAACCCTCTTTCCAAAATCCAGCTGGGCCCCCATCTCATACCAGACTGTGTCTGTCTCCAGGAACTTCACAGCTGCTCGGATCAGCTGTGTTTTGTTTCTCTGCGTGGGATTGTCCAGCGCCGTGTTGCACAGAGTGGTCTGGGGATAAAGGCAGTTGAAACTGCTGTTATTCCAGGCTTGAAAAAGCAGCAGCTTCCATGGTACAATACCAAGAAGAAGCAGAGGGATTTGTGGCAGATGAACTGCTGCAGGGGATCAGGGCCACAAAATGGCTCATGTAATAGGTATCTTCTGAAACCTTTCAGAATCCCTGGGAACAGCCCATTAAGCAGCAGGGAAGAAGGGCCATGGACTGCTCCAGAGCTCACTGTTTCCTCCTGCCCATCACTATTCCTAATAACACTGTCCAGCCCCTTCTCAAGTTCCCCCAGTGACACTGATTCCCTCTAGACAGGCCAGCCCAAGAAAACCCTAACTTTCTGCACATTAGAAGCAGAACAACCTGCTGCCTCCTCATTCTGCATTTGGAGGTCTCAGCATTGCACCCTGTTGTGCTCACCAGGTGCATTGTGTAGAACTTGATGGTGTCTTTCTGGGAATCCCACTCTGTTGCCACTGCAATGGCCAAAGCCTCGCTGGGGACAGTGAAGAGCTTGGCCTGGGGCGTTTTCAGCTTTCGGTGGTCCAGGTTTATTTCAAAGCCTCCTGGGGAATCAGAGTAGAAATCCTGGGGAATCAAAGAGGAGCAGGCACTAAGGAACAACAGACAACCCCACAGAGGGAGCACATTCAGAGCTGGAGCTAACGGGAGCAAGGGACCAGGAATACTCAGGTTTCCCACCATCACTTGGATACACTTGGTCTTGGAAGCTG